TTAAAAGCAGAGTTAGGCTCCAAATCAAAATCTTTAGCTTTGAAACTCAACTAAAACTGAATTCACCTCAAGCAGATCTACCAATAAGTGACCAAACCCATAAACTGACAGACTAGGCAAAAAGAGAATCAACTATAGAGGCAGCCAAAAAGTCTATGGTAAGCCTTAGGGATTCACAGCCCCGGGTGAAGAATTATTTCATAGGACAGCCATTAGCACTCCACGAATAAGGCCTTTTCTGGAAGGGCAGCAAGATTGTTGAATTATTGGGAGGGGCAAGAACAAAACTATAAAAAGCTTGGTTGGCACTTAAACAGAGGCAACATAGCAAACATAGGACAGAGGATGCCCTAATCGGATCAGAAAAAACAATGTTGTGATCAGCTAGAAAGGTGCTATCTATGGCAACAAACTAAAAAATATGGTTATCTTTAATAAACTAACCTCATGATTAGAAATGATGGCGGCAGCATCATGCTATGGAGACTTCATTAAAACTACAGTGTAACTTTTGACCCAAGTATTAGCTTAAACTTAAGTTATGTCAGTATACAATTTAGCCAGTGTGTACCCTAAGTCCCAGAATCTTCTAAAAGGTTGGCATACGCTAAACTTTCTATGAATTTGTTAAACTTTTGGCGTTTACATGGCATATTCATAACGAGTCCAGAGTGTATTTCCAACAACAGTCTACGTTATGCATAATGCACAGCAGCGTAATGCCCATGAAATGTCACAAGCCTGAGTGGGGCAGCGATGCACCCGGAGGCGCCAAGCCTGCAGAAAATGATTTCTTTTATCCCGGTATTAGCTTAGCTGTTGTTTACCGGCCACAAAAAAAAGAAGGTCTGCATTCGCAGCAGATTGAGCATCATGTCTGCTAGGACGTTTGTTACTAGTTTGGCGTGAATGCAGGGAGGATCCATCACACTCACCTTCTCTCTCACCCTATGATGGGGATGAAGTCTGGAGGACTGATCCTCATGTGAAGCCACTTTTATACCAAACTGCTGCCAATATGCCATTATACTGTAGCTGTAAGTTAGAAGCACGTTCTGTGGACGTCTGGAACATGTCAGATACGTTGATAAGCGTTGAAGATAAGATCTTGCTAAGTTACGCATAAGTTATGCACAAGTTACTCATAGACCACAGTTTATGAGTAACTTACACTTGTCACATACTTGTTACATACAGTATGTCGGTGATCAAATAAGTTACCTGTAACTTATGGACCAGGTATGAGCATATGCTGTCATTTGAGCAGCTCAAAATTTCTTAATGTATTCGACGTGTGCCAGCATGCTTCAGTATGCTTCATCGTGCTCATAACTTATACAAAACTGACCCATAACTTATCCGACGTATGCCAGCGTTTTTGCCAGATTTATCGCATTTTAGGCATATGCTGGCTAAATCATCAAGGTGTGACAGGGGCTTAACTGAGAATCTGCAGGAAAAACTTGAACATTGGTGATCTCTGTTGACTGAGCTTGAACTATTTTTGGCAAAACTGCCTGGGGAAGATTGTAATTTGACAAAGAATGGGAAAGATTAAGGAGATTATCACACTGTTGTGTTTATTGGTTATATTGACTCATAAAGATGTAACCTTATTGGAGCACATTCTTGTGATCTCAGAAGCTTCCAGGTTCGCTTTGTGTTCAGAATGAACAGCCTCTTTGGGGTTTGCCTGGGGTCCTTGGCAGCAATCAGTGATGTCTGACGCCTGCTGAGATCACTGGGGGTGACGGCAGGCAGAGCTCATGAATTTCCAATGCAGCCTTTCTCTCTCAGAGTGCCTTTGTGAAGTTCCTTCAGCACCAAAAACACACCGCTGTGCGTGTCGGCGAGTAACTGAGTGCCTCCTTTTATGGGCTCTTTAGTGCTGATTCTATTCGCATGGCCTGCCAATGACGGGGACCTCCTGCGGACTTACAGGAAGTGGTAACATCACCCAGTGCTCTGGTTCCTCTGTGCACAGAGGGACGCTCTGCTGCTTTATGTTTTTTTCTCATTCTATTTAGGGAAATTTGTTTTCCGACTGTCAAACCCGCAAAATGCTCACTGGCTTAACTGGTTGCCATGCCAACACCCCGTTGGCATGGCACCCAAGAGTAAAACAATTCAAAGAACAATTAAATAAGCAATTGGGTCTTTGACTCTTGTTTCGATATACCTTTTATCTGTTGTTCGCTGTCAATAATATTTTGTTGAAAGACCAGCCTACCTGTCATTTTGCATCTGCATGCTGTTTGCCATCCAAAGTCAGGCTTCATGCCCACATGTATTATTCAGCAGCTATCCCATTGCAGGCTGCTTAACGGGGCTGGCATGAATGGAATCTGACAAGAGAGACTCTGTCAGGTGGGACAGGATCTCTGCTCCGCTGCAATTAGATGATGGGTGGCAAGTGAGCTGCCTGGATCACCTGCACACACCTTTCACTCTGCAATCTGATTTGGTGACTTTTGATGAAAAACTTTAGGGAGAGAATCGTTTATTTATTTATTTTTTTAACTTACGCCCCTCATAAATAGCATTTCTGTCTCCAGCCCTGAGTTATTTCAGTAGTTTCTGTCAGTGGGTGTGTGGACGTGTGTGTCACAGCCACTTTCTCCAAGACATTTCCTTTTCTCCCTGCTGTGCCTGGCCCCCGAGCCTGTCATCTTTGAGCTGGAGCTGTCTAATAACCATCATCAAGACAATAATGCAATTATAACTTAAACCCCTCTGTGATTCAGAGCATCCAATTATGTTAGTTTTCTGTTGTGAATTATGCTCAGTAGGAGAAAGATGAGTGGGATTAAGCTCAAGTAGCATCTATTCATATCCGTTTAGACATGCCGCTTTAAAATGAAGTGCTTCCGCCTTTCCCTCTCTGAGAATACCTTCTGAAAATGCTAATCAAGTTTTTTATTTTATTTCATGAAACTTTTATTTTTGATGGCTTTATTGTAAAATTTAAGCAGTTCTATTCCATCAAGAAGATGACAAACTATATAGAAGGCTAATGCAAGCAGGGTTAACTGATTAGCACAAAGCCAAGGTATTAGTGAAATCCCAGATTGTAATATAGTTTGAATAGAATTTTTAAAAAAAATATGAATAATTTTTTTGTATGTTGCCAAGATACATTTTTATTAGATTCAATAGACGTGGAAAAGTACAGATCCACAGATTTATTTGGTGTCGGTCACCCTCCTTAGTCAGTTTCAAAGACAGTATCTGTGTGTTCTGCACTTTGCAGATAGTTAAATGTTGTTGTTTTTTTACGTTTTCTGTTTTAGACTATAAAAAGGGTGGTCGATTAAAGTAAAGGATCAGAACATAATTATCCAGATATGAAAATGATAGTAGTGAAGCTGTTGTCCTGCCATAAAGTCTGGCTTATTATAAAGTGCATGTAAATCTTATTGGAGAAACTGCAGCCAAGTCTGACACTTTTGTCTGATTTTTGAAAAACTCCAAGTTTCTATAGTGCACTTGTTGAGATCAGGGGTGTTTTATTCACAGTGTACTTTTCCCATATTGTCACTCTCTCATGCCTTTATGATCCACACTTAAAAATCAACTGTCTATCTGGGAAATAAATGTCACTGATTTATCATTGCAAACAAGTGGTCAGGTACATATTAGCCAGTCATCCTGCCTCCTGGGGTAAGAGGCTGTTCTTTAGTGCAGATGCTTTGCATTGTGTTTCATCAGATTATTTCATTGGTTGATCTAAAAAAAGATTAGATGCTTGAGTTTTCTACAGGCAGACTTTTGCATAGGTAATTTCTCTGAAGTCTGTTTATGTAATTTCTTTGTTCTCTAGTCATGCCTTGCAGACAGTTCTTCTTTATACCAGTATGGCGCTCAGATCTTGGTGCATAACTGTACTGGATGCTTATTGGTAGTTTTGCAAATAGCTTACCTCAAATAAAATGTGAAAGTGTGTGTTTATGGTAAAGTGTAAGCAAGGTTATTTGAGTGTTCTAGTGGTTAAGGCATTGAGCTTGGAATCCAGAGGTTCTGAGTTCCAACCCTGACACTCTGGGTCCCTGAGCAAGACCCTCAGGGACCTGACACAATGGCAGCCCACTGCTCCCCAAGGTGGTGGATCAAATGCAGAGGTTAATTTCTCCAGTGTGAGATTAATAAACTCCAATCAATTAATATAAATTACTGCATTTATGATGGGTTCCATGATAATGTGGATCGATTGCAAAAGAAGAAAAAACACAAAACTAATTCTACATAATAATTTATTAAACAAATTTAAATATCAGATGGAAAAGAGTGTAAGGAAATATATTTTTCTTTAATATACATACAATATACTGTAATTTGCAAACTGCTGTCTTCCTGTCCTGGTTTTATCACTGAATAGTCTTGGGTATGAATTCTTTTTTAGCTTAACTACATATATTCAGAGTAATTTGATTAAAGTGCATCCTATTGTGTTCAAGGGTCTCCTGCTGTGTGGGGCATATTCTCATGTTTAATACATGAGCTCATTAACAGTGTTCAGATTGCCCTCCTCTCCAAACCGAATACCGTTCAGCAGCCTCCGCCTGCGTCCTCAGGCGAAGCTCTCCGCTGGCAGGAGGGCACAGGAAGCAGCAGCATAAGCTATCCATCCATCCATCTTGTGCCCTACAGAAAATCTGGCTGGCTAAAAGGAGCTATGCGGTGATAAAATCCTCATTCTTCCTCAGGCTGTCTAAAATGCGTTGCTCTCTCAGAGCAGAGGGGATGATTCCTCCTGTCTTAGTTTTAACAGAGAACCAGCTGGTTCTTTGTACTCTTGCAGCTTTTCTGCACAATGCGGTTGCCAAGTACGATGATGACTACCTTTCCTAAAAAGGCCCATATAACACAGCTAATGACAAGTGGATTTTAATAGTATTAGCACTGTGATTTGTTGCTAGGATACCACATCTCTGCCCATAAAAGAAATGAATGAAGGTAAAAGTAACAATACCTTTTCCTTTTGTGCCTTTTTTCCCTCACAGAAAGCCAGTTGAAAGAGAACACCACCAAATATCTGGAGCTGTTGGAGGACAGATTGCACAGGTATAGCTGCTTTTTTCCAGTTTCAGCACTGATAGCAAATCTGTGTCCCACAAGTAAAAGACATAAACAGAGCAGAGGCCACCAAGGAGTTTGCTCTCACCTCCATTGTCCTCTAACCAGATCGCCGTCTCCTCAATGCATCACCTTGCAGACAACTTTCTGCAGTCACACCTTGTTGTGTCCCGGAGCCGCTTTCTCACATTTCAGTCCGTCTCTCACCTGTGCTTTGTCTTCATCTTCTCACCCGCTAATGTATTTTCTATCTATACCTCAATACTCCATTTTTATCTTTTCCCCTTCTCTTTATGAAAGATGAAAAAAAAAAACTGTTCTTCCTGTTTTGTCTGTGCGTATAAGATCTTTATATCTCAGGGTATAATTCTGCTACCCAGCTCAGGTAGCACAATTGACAAATAGTCAATAGATTGTAACACATTATTTTAACCACATTAAAGCTGTTTTATGTGTTCCAGAATAGTTTCTGCTATATTTTATTTTAGAATCTGAATTTAATTTAAATAGGGAATGACAGCAGTGAAAAGCTTCTCCATTTAAAGACACACTCTCTGCTTAACACTCGTCAGATTGTGTATGAGAGGGTAGCTTTCTGTGTGCATCCTTTACCAGACAGGGTCACCTCTTTGAATTGCTGCCAGCCGGTGGTGATAGACAGAAATGCAAATGAAGAGTTGCAAAGCTCTGGTCCTTTTTCTTTCAATATGGCTGCCTGTTGTTGGATTTCTAAAATTGTATTTGACCATAACAAGCATTGAAGGTATGAATGATAATATAAATGTGGGATATTAAACCTACAAAAAGAATAGAACCTAATTGATCTCAAAATGGAAAAATTCACTTGTGACATTGGCTCTTATAAAGAAACAGAAGGTGCACAAAGAAGGAAAATGTGCATGAAGTATATACACTGCATATGCAGTGGAGGATAAAAAATAGAGGAAAGATTTAAGGTGACTTATATATACAATATCTTATGTAGAGTAATGTGGTGGCAGGTAAAGTGTGATTTCTGGTTTGTTAAATAGATAAATAGTATGAGTTATTGCAGTGTTATTACACCAGGTTATAGTGCAGTGGCATTGTGAAGTCTTTCCTTAAAGGAGCTACTCAGTTCCTCTACAGTCTGGTGCAGGGGGTGAAAGGTGTTGTCCATCATGGTGGTGAGCTTGGATAACACCCTCATCTCGGCCACTTCCTGCACCGAGTCCACATTGCAGCACAGGATAGAAGTGGCCCTCAAAATACAAATACAAAAGTATTTGTCTTTATAAAATCAAATTAGTTTTCAGTGTATTGAAGTATTCTGAGCGGAGTGATTTAGCTTTTGAATTTCCTGCTTGGACCAGTGGGGGTGTTAGGCTGGTAAAAATACAGATTACAAAAACAATGTTGCAAATTTTGCATTAAAATCTTAACAGAAATTCAAAATGTAAAAATTGTTGAATCTCAAAATATTTTTAATTACAATCAGTAATCACCAACAGTAGCCAAACTGAAAGCTGTAAGCACATGTTTCAGCTTTCTACAGGTTTAAACAACCTGTAACATCTAATATGACTGGTAGTTAGCTTTGCCTAAACAGCAGTCTCCTTTTTTTCCTTGAGAAGATCCTTACCTGAAATTTGAGATTCTCAAAGGCTGCAAACATTCTTAAGCATATTCCATAACTCATACCTTCCAACAAACTGTATCTTTACAACAGTTCCCAACAAGTTCTTAACCCCTTAGGGCTCTGCCACACCTTGACAATTTAGGCAGCGTATGCCGACGTCCAAGAACCTTATAAAACGCAGGCATATGCTGAACTTTCTATGTATTTATTCAGCATTGGGCTTATACATAGAGTATTCATAATGAGTCCAGCACGTTTGTCCAACGACAGCCTACTTTATGCATAAAGCACGGCAGCGTAATGCCCGTGAAATGATGCACAAGCCCGTGTCCTGGGGGGTCAGCAATGCGCCTGGAGGCGCCCGGTCTGCATAGTAAGATTTCTTTGATCGTGGTATTAACCTAGCTGTTGTTTAGCAACCACCAAAAAAAAAAAGAAAAAAAGAAATAATGTTTGCAGTCTCAGCAGATTCAGCTTCATATCTGCTAGGAAGTTTGTTGATCGTGAGCGTGGGTGTGAACGCAGGGCAGATCCATCAGACTCACCTTCTCTCTCACCTTATGATGGGGATGATATAGGTTGGATAAGCTGGAAACCACGGCTTATGATTAACTTATAATTATTGTATGTCAACGATCAAATCACTTACCTGTAACTTATGGCCTATGTATGAGCATACGCCGGCATACATCTTGACGAACTTGCCGTATGTCGACGTATGCCAGCATTCTTCAGTTGGCTCATTACTTATACAAAACTTACCCATAACTTATCCAACATACGCTAGCTTTTTTGCCAAATTTTTCGGCATACGCTGGATTAATTGTCAAGGTGCGACATCACCATTACTGACCTGAAAACAGCTGATGCTGATTCTGCTTCACTCAGTAACAACCATAACAAATTCCACAGCTGAGATTTTGCCACAAATCAAACTTGTATTTTTTTTTAACCAAAACTGCAATTATTTCATTGGCACACAGGACTTAATGGCTGTGTGGAAAAGTGCTTTCTCTCCCATGCATACTAGCTGCAACCTTTTGTCCCTCCTCTGTGACATCAAACCTATATCAAGTGAACTTTAAAGTGCGTTTAGATGACGTGTTGTTAATTGGAGCTATATAAATAAACTGAATTGAATTTAACTTATTAGCGCCACCAAGAGGACTGGACTGAGAGACTTTCTTACAGTGTTTAATAGTAACGTGACCAAGTAGGAGTACCATTTTTAAAAATTGTGATTATATTGCAAATGATATTAACCCTTTATCAGGCAAGTTACTGTTTTTGATCACTTACATCCCCCTTATAAATGGAGTCCGCCCCGTCCCTTAGTGAGGTCTATAAGCACAAGATCTATATCCGTCCATTCAGCAAAGATACAGCTACATGGCTGTACATCTTATTTTGGCATTTGACCAATTAGATGAGCCCTTGGATGATATATTACCAACGGCAAATTAAGTTTAAAAAAAGTTAACAAGTCAAGAAAAAATTTAGAAACTAATTGAAAAGTAAAGTGAAAAAGTTAATAAGCCTAGTTAACAATTATATTTAGGTTTATAAACTAAAAAAAAATGTAAGTGCCAGTATCAGCATTAATGCCTCTAAGGTTATGTTGGAGTTGGATGTTTTTCATGAATTTCTTACAGAAGTATTTTTGTTATTTTTCTTACTATAATTGGGCAAGTTGGCGTTTCTTGTTATTAGTTTGACATTGATTTTTGACATCAAAATATCCATATTGTTTGAATGTTAGAGAAGTAATAATAATAATAATAAGGTCTTGTCCTGGATTCCAATAACACTATTGGCTAGAAATTTTGATTTTCAAAGTATTTTATTAAGGGCCCTATAATGCCTTAATTGTAAAGCTGTAGTAAACTTACAAATGGTAAATCTACCAATTTACGTCAGCATTCTTTTGTCATAGAAACCAGTCAAATGGCTTACAGTAACCATAAGTTAGAGTCACCCAGTCATGCTCAGTGTGTATATATACTGTAGCCTATTTTGTATTGTTTGTCCCTGCATCTAAACTCTTAATTTGCTTTAACAACCAGTCCAAACATGACTAGTGTTTTCATATCGATGGGAAGATTACAAGATACAACTACTAGCTCCTGCGTGTGCAAAGAAACACAGTGATTCAATAAGGAGCAAATACTCACAAGTATTGCCTATCAACCACTGTAAGTATTCTTGAGAGGATGAATGTGCATTATTGATGATGGAGTGTTATGCTGGATAAGGAGAGGAGGAGAGAGGTAGATTAGTGTGGTGAGATGTCTGGTTTCTGTGGTGACGGCTGCTTCTAAAGAAAAAAACTCCATCCCACACTATAAGAATATAGAAGGCAGCTAGAGCAGTGCAGATGCTCTTAAGTGTGTCACCAGACAAAAAATAATTTAATTCAAATTAGCTGCACCTCTGAGTTATTTAAAAATATTATGTAGATGATTCATTAGTAAGTGCTTCTTGTGTTTGTCCTACTTTTTCACGCTTTTTCCATTGTAGAGATTTGGCTGTTATTTATCATGTGTGAAGGATGCAAACCAGCTGGGTGTAGAAGTTATTAAAATGCTCAGGCATGTTCTCTTTGCTTAAGGTACAGACAAGCACTGTGCATGTAAGCAAAAGCAGAAATAAAGGGAAATTGGCTAAATTATGGTATAGATTTAGGAACTCTATCAACAGAAATGAATAGGTGTAAAAATAGACAGACCATGGCTAGTTGCTGCAACATAAACCAATTTTATATATATATATATATATATATAATTGGTTTATGTTGCAGCAACTAGCCAAGGTCTGTATAAGCCCAATTGGTTTATGCACTTCTTTCTTTATCAACATGCAAAGAGTCTGAAGTGAATGAGGACCTGGATCCCACTCTGCAAACTGCTTGAGTTTTTGTTTTTTGACAGTTTTTAGTGGATCCTTTGCACGGACCTCACTAGCCCGTGATCTAGATGACTGATTTTCATCCCTAGATGAAATGGGGCATATTTTATTCCATAAATAGATTTGAATAGACATTGTTCTGAATAATCTACAAAGAAACACAATATTACAAAGAAACACAAATTATTTTTATCCAGTCTTCATTTTATTACCAACCATGGTTTTCCTCTCCATCCTTCCTAAATCTTAGGCTCCATTTAATATTCTAGGGAGGCTGCTCACACCAACTGTAAACTCCTATGGGACTTCAACCTCAACACAGGGCACTGATCTTTCCATTTCTTCATTTTCTGAAGACCTTTGTTGAACTTACTATTATATTTTGTGTAATTGTCAGGTTTCATGTCCAGCTCTGTTTCAGCTCTTATATTTTAAGGATGATTTCACATTCTTCTTTAAAAAGAAA